TATAAAGGCTGAGTATAAATTTTAGATTAATTTCTTTCTTATGCAAAGATGAATCCAATTCTTAATTCTAATCTTAAATCTAAGCTTTTTTTTACTAAAGTATCTATAATTCACTTATTATTAACTCAATCTAGACAAAGTTTATCTTGTTGAAATTAATTAAAGTTATAAAATTTTAAATTATTAAAGTCAATAAATAAAATTTTAAAAAAATAAAAGTTAAACCAAGGAAAAAAAGTTGGCCACTTGTTGCAACTTCTGCCTTCAAAATCTCCATCCACAAATTAGCTTGGATCTCCCTTATCACAACTCTTATTCTTGCATGCTAAGGCTTCTTGGAAAGCTAAAAATAAGATCCAATTTTTTTCAAAATTTTATATCAAAAAGAAAAAAATGCAAGAAATGACACAAAAAATCCCAAATTACTCTTGAATCATGATGCTCCAAAAACTCGATCAACTCCCTTCTTACAAACTTGCATGGATCTCCTTTATCATAGATCTTCTTCTTGTGTCCTAAAGCTTATTGAAAAGCTAATAACAAGATCTAGCTTCTCTTTAAATTTTAATATAAAAAGATAAAAATTTAATAAGTAGCATTGAAAATCCCAAATCATTCTTTAAACTTGCCACCTCAAATTTCCAGTGACCCCTCTCCTACTTATTCCTATCTAAGCATAAATAGAAAAAATCTCCACTTGATGCCAAAATCCCTACTCTAATCTTCTCCCAATATACGCCTTGAACTACTATGGAGTCAGATATCTACTCTAAAAGATAATACCTTCAAAGCTTAAATAATCTATTTAAGCCAATAATCTCATATTCTAAATTCCATTCAAATTTGTAAATATATTAGCATTATATTCTTCTTTTCTTACAAGTAAAGTTAATTATCCTCCAAATATCTTTGATATACTTAAATTAAGTGCATCACAATAGCATCTTGATAATCCTCATACTAACATGGTACTTAACTACTTTCTACTATTAGAAACAAGAATGTCATAAATAACAAAAAATAATCTTTCATATATAACATGCATAAAAGTTCATACATTTGTAAATAAAAATATGATTGTACTATACATATAACTTTTTACATCATTAGAAAAAGTCTTGGTTATACTATGAGAAATAAATTGAATATATAAGAATTCTAATCTATCTAAGAAATATATTTTTTAATCACAATAAATCTAAAATGATTGAATCAAAAAGAGATTAAATAATATTAAATATTACTAAATTATAATAATTATTTATTATTATTTCTATGAAGATAATTTTATAATTAACACCTTAAAAAGACAAAAGACAACCATTTATAACTTCTACATGCATGAATTTTATTTTCTTTAATAAAAGAATATTATATATTTAAATAACAAGTTGAGATCCTTGAATATAGTAAGACAAAGGCTTTGTAATTTAAAGGTCCTAAACAAACATCTATTATAAAACAACGTGAGGATTTTAAGGAGAAAATAAGACCTTTATTATGTATTACACGAGATTCTAAGTACATGGTTTCTATTATACCTCGGCAAATTTTTTTTTCAACACATTGTCTTTATTATCCATCATGCTCCTCATTTTGTTATTGTGTCGCTTCTTTAGAAAATATTAAGTTGTATATTTAGGTTCTCCATAATATAGGGACAATCATTTTTGTCAACATTAAGTCTTTTCTTACTCCATGAGAAATTTAAAAGGTGTTGCATCACTTTTCATAGGTTTTGATGTTGATGAATAAATTTCTAAGAAGTTAGGAATGATTGTTATAACTTAGTATATCCAATTTTAATCATATCTTTGTTTTTAATATTATTCAAGAAATTAATTGTTGTATGTAGTGGCTTGAATTTAAAAAATAATAATAAAAAAATTTTTAACATTATTAATTATAAATCTTTGACTTTATCTTTCAAGCTATATTAAAATTGGCTGATAAGTACTTTATTTTTGTAATCCATGTTGCAAGAAAGGCTTTAGAATTAGGTAGGCTAGATGATAGCAGATTATAATTCTTATTGTAAAAATAAGAGTTTTATTTCTATTACTTTTTTAATTATTTTTTTTAAATAAGGCCCTAAATACTTCCAAGAATAAATTTAAATCATACAAGAATTGTGAATTCTTTTCTACCAAAGGTGCAAACCACAAAAGAATACTCCCAAATAGGAATGCACCTGTAAATCTAACTTGAGTAAGTCTATTGAGATATTGAGAAGGATATAATTTTAAATAGATCTTGATTTGTTATAGAAATCCTCAAATTTTTAATCTTCTTCTATCAAACATCTTTGAAATACTAATCTTTGTCTCTTTTATATTTATAGTGGCAAGACTTTTGGGATTTATTTATAGGGTTGATTTGTTTACTTTTCTCAATTGCATAGTTTATTCACATATACATTGGACCTCATTGTTAAATATAAAGGCATTAGAAATTCTTAAGCTAAGATAAGAATTCAAGAAAAGCATTGATAAGAATAAAAAATCACTTCATTTTTTCTTCTATATATATTATTTAAGTAAGGAGCTATGTGGCAATGTTCTATAAATTATCCAACATATGTCCAACTTGTGGAACATGTGTCTAATTTGCAAAGCAATTTTTCTACATGCGAACCACATAGCCAACTTGTACCACATGTTGCCAACTTATTAGCCAAGTTCTTAATCTATCAATCAATAGTATGATTTAGTCAAGATTTAATTAAAAATTAAAAATAATAATAATAATAATAATAATAATATGATGAAGAATAAATTTTGTTAAATTTTTAAGGATAAATCAAAAATATCAAGCAAATGCAATTAATTTCAAAAATAATTGTATTTATTTATAATATATAAGTTTATTTCTTTCAATTTATTCTTAATTTCTATCCAAGTATGATGAATGAAACTTTATTTATAAAAAGAGTGGTACAACGTTTTTGACGTAAAATCAATATCAAGACTTGCTTGTATATTAATTAGTGTCTTAAATCTTAAGCATTAAATTGTTTATTTTGATCCAAAACATCTCTAAATCACCAAAAGATGATAAGTTATATCCAAATAGACAAAATAAAATCAAAGAGGATGGCAATTCAATTTCTAGCTTTGAAAATCACAATCATGTGTGATGAGTCTTTGTAAAAGGGTTATTCTTGTTGCTATAAAAAAGAAAATAAAAAACTAACTTTATATACACAATCATATTTTGTTACTAATTGTAAACTTCAGTTGACAAAAAAATTAATTTTATCTAAGATTACCATTGAAATCAAATATTTAAAACAATTGTATAATAATGAAGCCAAAAAATGGTCGTATAATAGTTAATATTGCTAAAGTATTATACATTTATATAGATATATATATATATATATATATATATATACACACACATTTATATATTTCTTAATTTTACATGTGAATGTTAGTAATAATAATTACCAAAATTTAAGTTAACAAAATTCATCAATCCTTGAAGACAAATAATTTTCGAAAGTTATTCTACAATTTTTGTTTAAAATTAGATTACAGTCTTGATATGTAAGAAAAACATCAAATTAAGATAGACTGGTTTCATCACTAAGCTCAGATTTCGTTAACACAGAGCATTAATTGAACTTTCACAAGTAAAAATTCAAAATCAAATTATTTCAATATCCACAATATTATTGATATAGTGCCTTCATTTTTGCATCACCACGTGATTAGCTAATAATATTGACTGGAGTTATCAGACTTTGCACTCTAACAGATAGTATCACCAAACAAATGTATTTCCAACCCATAAAACTCAAAAGATGTTTTACTTCCTGAAAGCGTGTTTGAATATTGTTTTAGTCACATCTTGAAAACAAGACCTAAACTCAATGGTTAACGCTTGCTTCTATAATCAAATTCCAGTGAACATGATTCTCATGCTTTAAGTACTAAGCCAAATATATTTCGTGTACAGTTAAAAATCGATAATTGAAAACAGCTTGTTACACTCTAGATTACAAAATCACCTGTAAACCAAACCTCTTACTCATGCAACCGTCTAAATTGCACATAAATAACTTGTGTTGCAAAAATAACATGCCAAGCTGCCAAGTACTGAAATCGTATTAACTGTACTCAAATGAAGATTAAGGAAAAAATTAAGCTAGACAGCAGTGAACTCAATCCAAGCATGCCTCCAAACATTGAAGGAATCTTAAAATATCTTAAAATAACTCTCAACTTCAGCAAGCTCCTCCCACACTCCAAACAAACACTCCTGTATAACTACATTTCGCTTATGATCATGAAGGATCTCCAAAAAGAAGAAGCTCAGGGCTAACATCAACAGCAAAAAAGTTCATAACGAACAACCTATGCATGGGTGACCCTAATGGTTAAGGATCACAAAATACCAAAAATGATGTAGGTCAATTTGACACTTCTATTACTTTGACACTGCAGGGCCAGCAAACATTCATGTGGGTCCACTTCACACACACTTGACTTAACAAAAAAAGGTCTGGTCCAAAGAGCAGAAACATGGAGTAGTTGGCTAGCATTTCCAACACCAACAAACAAATTGACTACGATTGATCGAGACCATAACGTCCAGTCTCATCGCTGCTGCTTCGTAGAAGATCTGCACTCCAATTTCCAATACAATCCACATACGACTCTTTATCTGCTTACATATCTCTAGGAGCGTCAAAGGCCCGCCTTAGTAGGTTTTAGGTCTCATCCTAGAGTAACCTTCAAAATGTGAAACTCGCATACATATTAGGAACTTAGAATATGAGGATAATTAGGGAAACCTAAGAGCATAAAATTATATCGACTGCAGAACACACATCACTTTAAACAGAACAAATGTTTCATTCATAGAGAAACTTGGCGCGTTAACGATTCCACTAAGTTCGGTCGTTTCCAGATCGTCTAATCACCTCATTCACTAAACATTACATCATGAAAATGAAACCATGAATCACATGGAAAGAAAGTTCTTACAATGAAAAATGCGCAAAAACGTTCTAGGCAAGGAAGCAATTATATTGAAGAATTAAATAAAAGGTTGCAACAACTAGAACATCATAGCCGAAGATTTAACCCTCAACGATAGATAATTAAACAGGCCGGAAAAAGAAGATTCTCTGTACACTTTCATTTACAAGCCTATGAAGTTGAAACATAAATAGATGTGTCCAAAGAATCGACACAAAGTACCCCGATGAGGACCAGCACCAAAGGTCGAGCGAGAACGGGAGCAATACCAGCTAACCTACTATGCGTCTTAGAACAATTCACAATGAGGCTTACAGCGGCTAAGGGAACACGAGGAGACATTTCTGAACCCCAATCCGCAGCAGTATCGTAAGGAACCGGTGTGAAGGTAATACTCAGTACTACTGACAAGCACTGCCGGTTTCAGTGGTAACTGCCATCGCAATACAGGAATCTACAAGGAAAAATCTAAAACCTAACCCTCTCCTTCTACGAGAACATCAAGAATGAAAGAGAAGCCCGTGCATACTTACCCACTTCAACGAATCTGAACACAGTAATAGCAACCCTGGGTTCTGACTGGGAGGTTTAACTCAACGAGTTCAAACCAACAGTTGGTTTCTCTGTGGCCCAGAAAACTGAAGACAGAGTCAGGCCTGGTCAGCGAAGTTTTCTTTGGTTTGCAATACAAAATCCTGGAAAGAATGGCAATTCTGCTCTCCTCTATACAAACTGAATCTCGGAGGCCAGTGTTTGCATCTCCAGCAAACCTACTAACAATTCGACAATCGTGCAGATGCAGAGCTTATTCCATGTTGACCTCTGTAGATCAAGACCAAGACCTCCACCGCAACACCCCTGCATCCTTTTTTTCTGGCAGCCCCGATTGCGATCCGAATTCAATTCACATGTGGAAGTCGCCATGCCTACACTTTCAATAGGGCTGGGAAACATCCTCATACCGCGCCATTCCAATTTCCTACTTCTAAGAAAGCTCCGTGACACAGATCGAGTTCTTCAGCGATTCTCGCAACACATGACCTTACCATCAACTTTCATGGCAAACGCCTCTTCCGACTGAATCGAACATCCTGTGTGGAGTCTCTTCAGACAACTTGAATGTTACCTCCTTTCCTGCCTTGGTGTCACTAACACGAAATCAGGTCTGGGGAGATTACCCTAAGCCCAGCACAAATGTCTTTCAAACTATCATGACAGCGCAATTATAGATGAAGCCACTTGTGTTGGGGAGTTGGCCGACCAGGCGCCAGCCATCCGCATTTTGCATTTGCGCGGGAGGCCATGCATGAATCTGGTCGCAAAAAGTCCCGTTTCCCCTGTCACTGGACCCTCCAATTACAAAAATCTCGTCTCCCACGGCCTTGAACCCCATGCCCCATCCACTAGCATCAACACTACGATATGGAACAGGTCCTAGAGGTCTCCAGGTGTTTGTTCCTTTGTGGTAAGCATTAAGTTCCATGGTGCTGGCATCAGCAGCATAGAGTTGATCTTTTACGACAGCAACTAGAGGTGGTGCTGTTTGGCCTGGAGGCTGTGTCCTTGCAGCCGGCCACATGTTTTCAACTATAACCCATCTGTTTTCCGACTCATCGTAATACTCTCCTGACGTCAACGCTTGCTTTTCACTACCTTGCCCACCTATCACAAAGAACTTGTTATCCAAAATACATCCGGAGCACCATTTCCGACTCACATGGAGATCGGGAAGTGGCTCCCACTTTCTGGTCTGAGAGTTATACCGCTCTGCCGAGCTTATGACTGAACCTTCACATGATCCACCAGCGAAGTACGCATACTTTCCATGACTTGCAGATGCAAACAAGCATCGACTCTGCAGCATCTTGGCAGCTTTCCCCCATTCGTTGGTGTGCAGATCATATCTCCAGACCGTCGTACCAGTCGAACTGTGACCAGTTACCAAGAGATGAGTTCCTGCTACTGCAGACTCCTTGTCGCAGCTGTTAAACGTGTAATCACAAGGGCATTGTGGCAAACACCTCCACCTGTTGTACACCGGGTCAAAGGCCCGCCACTGCTGGCGCTGTTGTCTTGCACTGGCCAGCAAGAATACCCACGTCTCTTTCACACCTTGAAACTTTCGCATGTCCAGTACCTCGTTCGTAGACTCTACAGTTGTCAAACATCTTTGCCATTTCTTACACACTCTCTTCAGAGGTTGATGATAAGAAAGCGGTATAAGTGCTAGGATGACCAACGCCGTGTTATCCGACAGGCCAGGGATGATTGGGACGTCCTCTCTAGACGAAGCCGCCGCCACCACCATAGCCACTTCCGGCTCAGGTGCAGGGGAAGGGTCACTGACAGTGGAAGATTCGCTTGCATCCAAGGGGGATTGACTAGTAGACCGATTTGCCTCTTGAGACGGCGAGGCATCCACTACAGAGGAAGACTCAACACACTCGCCCTGAGTATTCCGCGACGCAGCATCCTTCTTAGCGCTTTTTTTATTTTTGTGATTACTCCTTTTCCTACCCGAAAACGATCTACACGGCTCCTTCGGGACCGACAAGGTCGCAGTAGCCATCTCCACGTCCGCGCTAGCGTTTCCGTTACTACTACTACTGCTGCTACGGCTGCTGCTGCTACTGCTCAGCCTCCTCTTCCCTGTAGCCTTCCTCTTCTGTTCCTGCACTTCAGACTGCCCTTCCATAAGACAGAGGGCAACCACGGCTCGTAGCCGCCTCTCTATAACTACCCCAGTCTACACGCCTCTCTCGGTGATCTCGCCCGACCTCTTCCACCCAACCCCCAAACCCTCAACCCCCCCCCCCCCCACACAACGCCAAAGGCAGAATCCAAACCCTAGCTACCACCAAAAATCCCCTCCCCACCCGCACAATCCACGATCACTCTCGCTACTGAACACCAGCTACCTCTCCACCACAAAGATACTTCTCCATCCGCTCCACTCACCCCTCGTCCCAAACCTCCCACCTTCCCAACGCATCCCTCCTTTCCCCCGTCTCACCCCTTCCTGTGCACACCCCCGCCACACAACCCACTCACATATCAACCTCCCCTCCTCCCCTTCTCCTCCTCGTCGTCGTCGTCGTCGTAGCCACTGCGGCCAGTCCTACAGCAAAACACAAGTCACACTCACACAGAAGCCCGCGAGAAATCGCATACCAGCCCGCCCTTGTGGAAGCAGACGTGAAGGTAATCCCGCACAGCACACGACGAAACGAGGAGAATGGCAAACAGCACAGAACGAGAGAACGAGAGCGAGAGAGAGAGCGAGACGGGCCCCTCCGTCCCTGGCAGGCGACTATTGGACACGCACATGCGACATCGACGCAGCAATTAGTCGGGGCAACCCCCCCTCCCCTTCCCCCTCCCCAGCCCCAGCCGCCTCTTGCCGCTTCATACCACCTCTCGTCTGCGGCCGCGGCTGCTGGCTACCGCCACAGGTGGGTGCCGTCTCCTTGCCCCGTTCCCCCCTGCTGCCCGCTGCCCCCATGCACATTCTGTTGGTGACCAAACCTCGGGGAGCTCTTTCTTGGCTCCTTCGTGACTTCTGCCTCTTTAGGTCTTTCTTTTGCACGCTTGTATTCAACTTTTGCCACTCCACCTTCAATTTATTATTATTTATTTATGTTATTTTAATATATTCTCTGCATGGGGGTTGCATGCTAATCTTGCCCTGTTCACATCCATGACTTTGTGTTTAGTATTGGGTTTGAAAACAAAATTGGGTCTTGTTCCTAGTTTAGCAGTTGTTTGGTCTTACATTGTAAAAAAGAATCTTCTTTGTTTTATTCGTGCGTGTTTGGGTTGCTTTCTTTTATGTTTGGTGGCTATTGAGTTGTGGTCAATGCTTGGACTTGTTTTGACAACACCAACTGTTTGACGACAATTGATGACATGAACATCCTACATGAATAATATATTTCTATATATCATGATGTAATGTTGAGGTTATATATACTCTAAAAGCAATTGTGTGTTTCAGATTTTATGGATTGAACATGTACTTAATTTATTTATATTTATACAATGTTAAATAGATCCAGGCTTTTACTAAATTGATCCACCTATCCTAACCATCATAAAAATAAAAATGACCTCCACATTCATTTTTCCACTACCCAATTCAAAGTCAATGAAAACCAACTACATTCATCATGATTATCATATGTTCACCATGGGTAGATCAATTTAGTACAAATTTGGGTCTATTTAACACACACACACACACACATATATATATATATATATATATATATTAAAACATATATCCTTATATTTTAAAGGGTATTGATGTTATCTCATTTATTTAAAGAAGGATGAAGGACAAATATGGGGTGTACTTAATTGTTGACATTTTCAGAGTTGAAATACAAAGAGTTTGGTCTACAGTTTTAGAGTTTTCTAACTTCAAAATAACTTTAAAGTTTGTATTTTAGTGTGCTATTAAATATGATACCCTAGCAGCAAAAAATGTGTGACATATTTTTTTAATCTATTCTGCATACTACATTTGAACCTATTTTTTCTTCCATGCAAACAATCTATTTGCATCAATACTTTGAACAAATAAATAACTATACAAAGTAACCAGGTCTTGCTCATTTTAACTCCACCTCTACAATGATACATCAATAACAATAAATAAAAGTTGAATCAAATCTTTAACTCAACATGGTCCAGTGATGAACAGTTCTTTAATTCTACAGACACACACATTTGTAATTAGTTATATTTGAACAGAACACCTTACAATGTACTTTATAAAGAAAAGCATTAATTACTAAGTTTACCCAAAGCAATCAAACTTCTTCTACAATCCAAAAAGGTGATCATCATGCATTCATTTACATCTCTTTTGTTGTAACAGAACTATTCAAAGACCAACCGACAAAATTTAAATTAAAGATGTGTGTAGCTGTAAAATTAATGTAACAAAAATGTTCTAAAATTTAATCAAAAAGCATGTATTTCAGTTTAAAAACAATAATATTATTTTTTACTTAATACTCATGATGTGGAGATATTCTATATGAGTATATACATCATTTATTAAACAGTCTTTATCTTATAATGAATTTTAATATTTAGAATGAATTTGATGTTTTCATAAAACTAATCATGTTTATTAATCGTTTTTTATATGATTATGAAAATAGAAATAATAATAAATTAAAAAATATATATTTATTGAATATATAATACAAAACGTTTTTGTGAAATGTTTGCTAAGGTATATCCACTTAATCAATTTTCAGCTCCTAGAATATAATTTTAGCACATTCTGTTTGTAATCCAAAAAATTATAAATTTTAATGTCTAAAACTGAAAATTAAAGTCCAGATACATATCAAAAAATTTAAATCATTTTGATTATGAAAAAAATGAACAAAATTAGTAACTTTAACACGTTGCAAACAAATATATTTATGTGAATTTAGATCCTTCTAAAATCTCTACATTGCTTACTACATTCTTCAAATACGCTAGTAACTTCTTGAAAGCTTTTGTCAGCAATTAGAAATCAAAGTTTGTAAGTAATTTTGTTAAAAATAACCAAATCAAATCAAACAATTAGCTCAGGTAAGAAGCTTTATTAGATTTATTTATTTATTTTATTTTATGTTTATTAAAATGATTCTTACAGTAGTTCTGGTGGTAGGATAGCAGGATCAGAGACTAAAATTAAGTTAATTTCCAATGGCCATGGAAGTGTTGTTATTTTAATTATTCCAAATTCTAAATCTTGTTCTCAGACCTTTGAATATAAAATTCACTCGGTATACTATCAAGCTCAATACTAAACCACCATTTTTTTATGAGGAGGAAGTTCATGATTTGAGATAGATTCTTTGTCACCCATACCCACTATGAACACTTATTATCGGAACAATTTTTATAATTATTTCTCTTTGATATTTTGATCAACATTATTTGGCCAAATCAACACTTTACCCATCAGTAACACACAAGCCGATCTCTTGGGCATCAAAATAAATAAATAAATAAATAAATAAATACATAAATAAATATCTTATAATCATGTCAATATCGTTTAATTTAAGCCCACTATTGTACGACATTAATTGCAGCACATTTGTCTGGAAGGGAGCAATTTCCAACTACTTCACCTTGGAAAAAACTACCAAATACTTAACTTTAGTTTCTAGTTTCTTAGTTTAGTTTAATTTAGTTATTTAGTTATTTAGTTATTTATTTATATATTTCTTTATATTGTTTCTTAAAATTTGGATTCTCAAATTTTCATTTTTTTTTTCATTTTTTTCTAGATTATTAGCAAAAGTACATAGAAAGAAGAAGAATTTGGGTTAGATCCACAACTATTGGATGAACATGAATTTATTCGCAAGGAACAAATTTATTCCCCTTTTGCAGTACAAATCATTCGGAAAGAATCCTTCAAAACAGCACACCACATGTCTCATCCAAATTTCTCATCCATCCAAATGGATGCATGTTGGAAATCTTTTGAAAGTCGCCTATAGGTGTACGAGATGGCCGTAGTCAACCCGTCAGAACAGGTTCTATGTACCAAACCGTAAAGCACCTATGACCGAGATCCCTTCTTATTCTCGACGTCTGCCACCGTGGCACGGTCACAGGTTCCACACGGTCACGAGCCCCGGTCCGGTCGCGGAAATGGGACCCCCACCCCGCTCGACCTTTCGGCACAGAGCTAGGGTTTAGCCATGCGTTATCGGGCTGGCTCCGAAATGGGCTCGAAATGGCTTGTCCCACGAGAGCCTCGGCGTTTGGATTTGGTCTTGGAGCGGCAATGTGTACTGCGCAGAAAAGGCCATTTTCATCTGATGATGCAAGAGAAGCCGCGGTAAATTAGGTTTTGAATTTATCTCGAGAGTTGGAAGGATTCGCCTTGCGTGGTTGGACTAGGGGTTAAGGATTTCTTGCTTCTCTTTTTAATCGTGTTTTTATTTATTTCTTTACTTCTTTCTTCCTAGATTTTCGTGGTGACGGAGTAGATTCTAGTCTCATTATCCTTCTTCCTCGTCTGCAGGCTCCTCTCGTGGTAAGAGCGTAGTGTCTAAATTAGTCAGTGATTTGAATTCTCAATTAGAGAATCAGAGGTCGAGTTTAATCGAAGGCGTGTTACCTTGTCCATTCTTTTTGGTTTCATGGTGGAAGGAGGTTACCGTTTGGTAGTGTAGGAATGTGGACAGAGAATGTCTTTGTTTTAGGTACTGAAGCAGACTGCAGACGCAGTTCTTGCAGGCAGGAGAGTAGTTTGTGTTGAATTCTAAAATTATTTGGCAGTAGTGTGCTTAGAATGGAATTTTATGTACCTGGTAATTTACGGTTTCGCTTACTAGTGGTGCACCTCCAGGCAACCTTCGATACATGTGTTAGATAGGTCAAACGATTAAATGATTTGACAGGTTGTTAAGCGGAGAATTGGCACGCTGGTGTTGAGTATCGTGGATAAACACGGTTTTTTCAATTTTCATCGTACAGAGAAAATTCCGAAAATACGTGTGAAACGACCTTAGCATGTTTTACAGATATGCATGTATGTCATGGTGAAATGGCTGAGATCATGGTTAGAGACGCCTGAATTATTTGCAGTTTCGTTTGCGTCTTGAAGTTTTAGAACCTGGGCGGAGGTTGAGGGTATTTGCAACTTCAGGAAGGGAACTTTCAAAAAAGAAGAAGAAACAGGGACTCTGCTGTATTATGCAAGTAAAGTGAACGTATCAATTTTGAAGCATATGCTTGATAATGGCACACCAGTGGATGCGGCAGATTACGATGGGCGAACTGCTCTTCACCTTGCTGCTAGTGAAGGTCATACTGCAGCTGTGAAGCTGTTACTGGAGTATGGCCCCAGTGTGAATCCTTGCGGTCGCTTTAATGAAACAGTGAGCTATTACTCCTCTCTGATGTTTGCTTTTGTTTACTTATTTTCTTTCTGTTTTATTTTGTTTTGGAAAAGTACAGCAGGTTAAACTACATCTCAAGTACAATTTGTGTTCAAGTACCTTTTTGACTCACCCCATCAACTGGCTTGATGTGTTCTAATCTTTCGATTGGTTTGTTTGGGCAACTCTGTACAGCCATTGGCAAATGCGCAAAGATATCGACACAAAGACATATGCGATTTGCTAGAAGTGAACGGCGGTTTTACAAAGGCACACAATCCTGTCACACTAGATTTGGGTTGGCATGAGTTTTTTCTAGTTTTCATTTGTCTGAGTAATCGGTTTTTATTAAGCCACGTAATTATATGTAATTATACGTAATTATATGTTCATGACAGGGAATACGAGCTAGATACAGGAATATGGATGTGATTTTAACGCCGTTATGTGTGACATTCGTGTTTGTATGTCCAGCCATAAAGTACACTTTCAACGTATGAAATTGATCCTGCGGAACTGTGCATGGAGAAAGGCCGATCTATTGGCAAGGTACAGGCACAGGCTGTAATATCCAGCAATATTGGAAAGCATTGCAGGCCTTGTAATTTGCAGGCTTGCAGTAGTGTGTGTACATCGAATCTGCAACTGCACGTTCTTTTCAGGTTCATCTTCTCTGAATTCCATAATAAAGAGTGAACTGCAAATTATGTCTCGTTACAGTAGTGAGGAATTTAGGACGGACCTACCTCGCTGTGGATATGAATATGCTAGGTTGTTAATTTTTGTTTTTGGTATCTTTCTTATAGGGTGCATTTGGGGAGATCAAAATTTTTAAATGGCGTGGAACTGCCGTGGCAGCAAAAAGCTTATTGAGTCATTTAACATCAGACCAAAAAATAGTGTGAGTTTGTTATCATCACTTTTGTGCGGTCATTGCCAATAAACTACGTACTTTTCATGAAATGCACCAGAACATGTTAGGTCATGTTAGTTGTTGCACCTTGGCAAGGACGCTTCTCCTGAGGAGTGGACATGCTCTCCATGTTAATCTAACGGATACGCGTCATCAAACAGGAAGGAATTTGTTGATGAGCTGGCTCTCCTTTCAAGGCTTCGTCATCCAAACGTCATGCAGTTCCTTGGTGCTGTATCTAAGAGTCAACCCTTTGTCATAGTAACTGAGTATCTTCCAAAGGTGGCTACATCACTCTCAATCGTGTGACATGATGTGTTTATCATCCTTATCAATTTCTATTCTATTCCCTGTACCAATTAAAGATTGGAAGCCGTTGTGTTCACCATGCAGTGTCTTTCTCTGGTTTCCTATCTTTGATCACTTTATTCCTTCCTAGGTACACGTTTCATAATTTGGCATCACATGGTCAGAATACACTCACTGTGTTACCATTGGTTTGGTATATCAGGGAGATTTACATGATTATCTTGACCGGAATGGAAAACTTGATGCTCTGACTGCTGTGAAGTTTGCCCTCGACATTGCCAAGTCTGTAACAGAATATTTATAGTTTTTCATCACTTCTTCTACTGTGCCTTACATGCACTTATAAGTGACTTCCTTGGTGTAAGTTCAGCTGCAAGTTTCAGCAATGTTACAAATTTCTTGTTGTCTGCAGGGGAATGAATTATCTTCACAAGCATAAACCCGATCCTATAGTGCATCGTGATTTGAAACCAAGGTGAGTACCTTGAATTCACATGCGTAACTAACTTTGACTTGAAAGAGTGAAAGTGGCGATAATGTGTATTTCGTAAAGAGAATTGCCTTTGTTCCTTTTTTGCTCTTTATTTCCTCGCAATTTCTTCTGTTGAAGAAAAAACATAAGGCAGGTTCGGATTACTGTTTGAGCAAGATTGTTCGGGCCCTCCCATTTTTGGGAGCATCTGTTTCCACCAGAAAAGAGCTATCAGCGTGTCGTTCATTAAGTAGTCCCAACCGGCCCTGCACTATATGAATGTTTTTACTTTAATGCAAGGAGCATAGTTATCTTGGAAGCCAATTCAGTTATGTCCCAGGGTTTTGATACGCTGAACAAATGCTTATATGAGTAAAGGTTTAATTTATAGAAGCATTTTAATTTCTTAGAGCTGAAGCAGCACTAACTGAGGAGTTTTTATGAGTGATGCAACTAATTTGTTTTGAATTTCCACGAAACCTCGTACTTTGCGTTTTTGGTATACATATTGTTGGACTTGCATGTAGTAATGCGAACCTCGTTTATGAAATATGCTTGAGCTTGTTGGATTTTAGGAATTTGTTGGTACATGAAGCAGGGTATCTGAAAGTGGCGGATTTTGGACTTGGCAAGCTTCTGGATGTCTCTGAGGCTACGCAGCAGTATTTGATGACGGGAGAGACTGGATCTTGTAAATTATTACTTTTGCTCTCATTTAGTGCGATATGGATGTGGCACCTACACTGGATTGCAAATGCGTATTTTATTTCTGATTACAGTCTACTTGTTATTTTTTGCTGTATGTAACACAGTAATCTCTTGCAGTTGATTATTGGATGCAAGTCGTTGGGCTTCTGTTCACAACGTTTTTCGTAATCTGTTGTACTTTGTGTCTATCGAAAGCATGAAGATTCTGACTGATTGCATCTTTGTGTATCTTAACCAGATCGGTACATGGCTCCAGAGGTGTTTCTGCACAAGGCTTATGACAAGAGTGTTGATGTATTCTCTTTTGCTGTCATTGTTCACGAGGTAAGTACAGTCCGAATTATCTTCTGAACCGATTCGAATCTTTATTTGTGATTTTCTAAGCTATATAAGCATCCGTTCGAAGGCCAGCATCTGCCTACTAGTGGGTTAAAGTGTGTTATTTGCCAGCACAACATAAGAATATTAGACATGGTGGAATCCTTCACAAAACTGGGGGAATTGTGTGTGCACCTCAAGTTTAAAGAACCGCGATGGTCAGAAGAATTGTACATGAGGAGGTCATTTGCCAATGACAGTTCTCAGTGGGTCTTAGGGTAGGGTGAATACTAAATATCCCAGGCGAAGTTGGTTTGTGAAGTTCATAACAGTACTACCGAACTAGGGTTTTGAAAGTGTCAATCTTCTACTGGTTGTTCGCATCTTCATCTCGCTTTCGCATCTCCTATTGTGTTTATGTATTGAGGGTCTGCATAAATCAATGAGCTAGTTATCACTTTTAATATTCCATGGCAATTTTTTGTATGAAAATCACCATTAGAGGTTTATAAATAGAACAGCACACAGTAAAGCTTCATCTAAGTTGATCGGTTTTCTGCAGTTGTTCGAAGTGGTCCATATTCGAAGTTTCAAGGGTCCAAGGACATTGCTCATTTCAGAGCTAAAGAAGGAAAGAGGCCAACTTTCTCTGCAAACACGTATCCTCCAAAGATGAAAGAGTAAGTCTTCTTGTAAATATCTGTATTATTCGATCTAGGATTCCCGCGTACAATTTAGTAGATTTCGGACCTACCTTTTTTCAAATTCAGCTATCAACGGGAAACAGAGTTGGTTGTTCACTTTGTTTTCCTATCCAGGCTCAACAGCGTAGTACATGTCGGTCTTGCTAACAATACGAGTGGATTGTCACAGTTTGCTGAATGAGTGTTGGCATCAGGACCCCACAAAGCGACCTAGCTTTTCAACCTTAATCGTGCATCTGGAGGATATCCTCCACCAAATTCAGCACAAGAAAGTGGATGGATCGTTTAGGCTGTTCACCTGCATAAGGCCTACCCCTTCGGATCCTAACAGCCCGGTTATTGCAATCCCTCGTTCAGAGAGTGGTGATGAGAAATCACTTTCTAGATAGGTAAATACCTCAGCATTCACGGCCTAACGGCTTTATTTTTATCACGAGATTAGTTTGTTTGCTTGAAAGGTTTTCAGATTGTGCAGAGGGATTTAGAGGAGATGACCTGAAACAGTGTTGATGTATTAGGTAACTTCCTCGGTCAGTGTTCTGTAAGACAATCTGTATGAAAGGATGACCGTACTTAAACTTTCTGGGAAATTGAAGTTGTTGGAGTGGCTTTTGCCTCAAAACATAAAATTGTGTGCGAAGGGTTTGCTGGGAGGGGAGGAGAAATGTCATTTTGATATCTTCAATTTTATGTGTTCAAATTTTATAGACCAACTTTATTTTGATCTCCTCAATTTTATTTATTTATTTTTATTCTCTCTCTCAATTTCATGAATAATACAATGAATATGAAAGTTGTAAATGTTTACCAAAATTATGCTACGTTTGCTATATGGATTTAACGTGCACTCAAGAAAGAGCATCTCCACAGCAACGTCTTTTTAGGTAGAATTGAGGTGGATTTTGTTGTATATCATCCATGTGGTGGTTTATGAGTGGTCCATTGATTTCACACCATGTGCAAAACGTGAAAATATTCATGAACGTAAAAAAAAAACGTTTTCTTAAATACAGTTGGGGAACGGTATGGTTCACGTGAACGAGGTATGGGAACGTATTGGAACATGGTTCATGAACCAATGGGAACGGGTGTTCGAAGTGAAGATAACCGCGAAAAGGATCCAATTTATGGACGAATGATGTATGACAAGGATGATATAATTTTCATTCGTTCAGATTAGTTCTAGGTTTGTTGCCATCGCAGTGAAGCCATTCTTCGCACTTTGCTTGTTTTGCTGCAATTGGTAGGGTTTCACCGCCTGTCTGAGCTCTAGAGGACTTTCGCCGTGGTCCATCGCATCGTTGCTACTCGCGTGTTGTCGTTGTGATTATTGGAAAGTGAAAGCCGGTGTCGATTGGATTGATTCGATAACTTCAGCGGGTGATTTGGAGGAGAAATGACGACAGCCGAGGTCGTGGACGCCGTAGACTTCGAGCCCGAGGAAGACGATCTTCTGGACGAAGATGTAGCGATGGAGGAGCTCGACGCGCCTCCCGCGCCTCCGCCGAAGTTGAAGTCCACTATTATCACGAGCGGGACAGGGGGCGGGAGTCGCATGGGTGGAGGTGCTGCAGCTGCCGCAGCAGCGGCTGGTCGTAAGACAAAGGGGCGAGGGTTTCGGGAAGAGGGCGATGCCGACCGCTCTCATCGGTACGCTGTGAAAGAATTCGAATCGCTCGATTCTGGTGGCGGACCAGGTCCTCAGCGTTGTATCCTCTTTTTGTTTTTTGTCCCTTTTGGCTGCGTAGCACTCTTCAGTTTTTCATTGTTCTCATCAGGTAATGGTGTCATTGGCCGCGCGTTGCTTCAGAAGTGTGCCTAAGCGCACAATGAAGACGCTCCACATTCTACAACACTGTAGGGGATATCATTTCGCAAGTCTGTTGTCAATTCCTGTTTCTGCGTTGTATGTGGTTTAAGCTTCGGACGCTGCTTGTTTTTTTATATATATATATTTTTCCGTGATAGTAAAGTTCGAGGTTTCGTTGAGTTTGCTGTTAGTTTTATTGACAGCCTTTTTAATTTCTGTGATGAATGATACTTTTGCCTCTGAATATGCCTTTCTCTTCATGAACTGTAGTCGACTTATCAGCTAATCGTTACAGTACTTACTTGCCGAGAGACGAATCTTGCATTAGAGTATGCTTTTTCAGCTGTAGAAATTGGGAAATGTTGGCTGTCAATTTTTTTGGGTTGACTCAGTCGTTGCGTCAAGACAGATGGCGAAATAAGCATCGCAGCATTATTCGTTTATCGTTTGTCACCAGGAATGCGGTCTATTATGGAGTAAACGAATACGCAATCTTGACCGTTAGTGATTTAAGATACTTGTTGTGTATAATTATGGTTGGATTCCCTTGACTGGTGTTCACTAGCTGTGGAGGGCTGGATCATTTTGGTCACTGGTGTCCATGAAGAGGCTCAAGAAGATGATTTACACGAGGCATTTTCCGAGTTCGGAGAGATTAAGAACTTGCATCTCAATCTTGACCGGCGAACTGGATTTGTGAAGGTTTGATTCGATGTTCATTTTCATTTATTGATGATCTGGGTTGTGTAAATATTCCACTTGTATTTATTTGATTCAATACAAGGCTAACTAGCGTCTGGGTGTACGTTTCTACGATTACATCTTTTTCCCGTATTCAGATAAAGCTTTTGTAGATGTGATGTTACTCCTGCATTCATAATGCACAGTTGTTCTTTTTCAGTCTATTCTATGTTTCTGGAATTTTTTTCTCAATGCTCCCATGCATGCAGGGTTATGCGCTAATTGAATATGAAACCAAAAAGGAAGCTCAGGCGGCAATTGATAATCAGAACGGAAAACAGTTATTAACTCAAACCATATCTGTAAACTGGGCTTTCAGTAGCGGTCCACTTCACCGTCGAAATGTTAGGAGAAGGTGAGTGCCTGTTGTTGTTCTTGTTCGGTGATTGCCATTCAATGACATAATATAGGTTTTGTCTAAATTGTTGATTTGTAGCATTGATCTCTTAAGACATGTTGAGCAGACTGAACGTATGTTACCATTATCGTCACTGTAATTGGGGAGGCAGTCGTTATTCTGAGCTCTTGTCTTTGATGGTACTGTAGGTCGCCTCGAGGTGGTCACAGGTCCCGCAGCCCTACGCGAAGACGTTTTTGAGTAGCAAGTGCATGTTGATATGTTTACGTGGAAGTTTTTGTGAGGGAAGGCAATTGTCACTTACTGTTCAAGTGCCACAGTAAGATGAGCACGATTACTCATTTCTAGGTGGACTCCTGTTTGTATACCGACTCCCAGTCTTCAACCCTTGATGAATACGTACTTTTATATTGTGAAAGACATTCGTGGTGTGTAATCTGTGTATTCTTGGTCTTGGTTCACTGCCACATGTATGTTCAGTAGATTGGTCGCCGGGCGACATCTACTTGACTCAATGGAATTATGTGCTAGTATTTTTTTGGGCATAAGTCAATATTGGATAATCCTTCATTTTTAATACTGATGTTTCAATGGCCCTTGAAAAAAGAGAGTAATCTACTTGTGAATGTTGATAATGAATCTAGCTGTTAGGGGTTGAGTTTCAATGACAAGAGCTCTACTTGCAATTTACAAGGTTATAAATAATAGAGACAATTATGTGATAGGATTTAAAATACTCACTTAGCTATGTTGGTTTTTTTTTTCATGTTAAGTTGCATGAGGTGGTTGAAAGAAAGTATTGAATAGAAACATAACTAGTGCTTGCTTTGTTATTAATAAACTAGCCTTGAAGACATTTGCATGACCAATTGGCATATTCCTTGTGTCCTTAATATCCATTTAATTGAGGCCAAAAATATTTATAAGTACAATGGATAATTTGATTGTAGTATTAATGTTTTATTCTAAGATATTCCAAGGTCTTTTGCAAATTAGTAAAAATTTGATGTTAGATATGCTTAGGTAAAAATCATAAAACAAAAAAGTGCCTAATATTACTAAATTCTAAGTCAAAACTTAAGACTAATATGCAAAAGACCTTGGAATATCTTAGAATAAGATATTAATACTACAATCAAATTATCCATTGTACTTATAAATATTTTTGGCCTCAATTAAATGGATATAAAGGACACAAGGAATAACCTATAGATTTGGATGATTTCATGTTAATCAGAAATATAATAGAAACAATTAGAAGAGAATTACAAGAAAAAATTCTAATAACTTTAAAGACACAAATAACTTTTGTATTCTACATAGAAATAATTAGAACAATGTAAAAAATAATGGTCATCATTTGGTAGAGGTTATTTGAAGTGTGGCAAGAAAAAAATAGATCTTAAAATCAAACCACCTTGAATGATTCTTAGATTATAGTAATATAGACTACATTATTGTTTGGTGAGAATGTTTTTGACTTATTGTGTGGATCAAAAAGAAAAAAATTCTAATAACTCTATTATGATACATTGTGATTCTATGCTTACTTTAAACACAACCAATTCTATAATAAAAGCTATGATGGTATAAACAAGCTCTTTGGTGAAAAATGTATGTAATCAAGTTATTGCCTTTAATTATAAAGTAGATGAATCTTTATTGATTGCTACCATCCAATTTTTACTCAAATTAATGCATATAGTCTTTTCAATTTATGACACTACAATTAGATTCAATATCATTATTTCACAATTTGCACAACAAATGAATGTTTTTAAGATTCAAAAGATGATCTTTTCAACTACAATATACATTAGTGATTTTAGTGGTAAAGAAATAACATAACAACAATCTAATAGTTATATTTGGAAGGAATTTAAATAATTATTAGATTACAATATTCTTACAAATTTAAAGCCATTTTCATCAATTACAATTCATAAGACAATATTATTTCTTAAATTCTATACATTATATAAATGTACCACTTCAATAATAGATAAAATAAAATAATAGCATAGCATGGTTTTTAGAAGTAAACACAAAGAAACTTGGTTTAGCTAGAACCAAAATTTATAAAATATAACATCAATATAAAAACTCAACACATTCTTCTTGTTTGATTTAATGGAAAATTTTCAAATCTAAAAAGGCTATAACTTGTATCTTTTATTAAAGTCACAAAACACATTCCATCAAAACAAAAATTCTATAATTATCAAACTTAATATTACTTTAGTGTTATCTCTTTGATTAATAGAAAACAAATAATTTGTTTGCACCTTTGATAATAAATCCAATAGAAATAATACTTATATATAACAATTAGTAAAATAAATACTTATATTTGTAAGTAGATCTATTAGTATTTTTTTATATATATATAGCAACTAAATACATGTTCAATTTTTAATATTATGAATATATCTATCAATGCCTATGACTAATTCAAGTAATTATGGAAACATGTAGTTACTACAAACAAAATTTATTCTAATTGTGCCAACATCTATCTATAAATATTAATCTACAATGACTCTTAAGTATCTTTAGAATCTATATAAAATATTCATCTAAATCTAATTCATGTAATACTAGTATTAAAAATATAAATATATACAAAATTTTAAAAGACAATACTTTTTTGAATTATTGAAGAAGAAAGAAAGTAAAAAAAGAAGATACAGAAATAAGAAAGAAAGAAATTATAATGGGTATTGTCTAATAAAAGAAAACTAGAAAGTCTTAAATCAAAATTAGAATATCATAATAATATTGACAAGATTAAAGCTGGATCTACTCTTGCCTCTATATGCACTAGCTATTAAAAAGACCTTGTAAAAGCTTCCTATGAACTACAAGACTTATGGCCTAAAGATCAAATTGTAAGTTTCTTCTAATGGAAGTTTTTAAAAATTAGAAACTTGTGGAACAAGTTCGAATAATGATATGACATGTCTATATAAATCCAAGATCTAATTTGAATCTATGAAACTTCTATGAAGTTTGTTTATGAGAGATACTATCTACCTAATATGTTCTATATACTTCTACTTACTTCTATTTATTTAAGTAATGTAAGCATCCATTACAATTAGACAATATTGTTAATAACTCAAAATATCTTCATATTTTTTGAAACCAAGTCACTATTATATATATCACCTTTTACACACATGTTTATCTTTAATCTTTCTATTGATTTGAAAAAACATAGCTTATAAAAAAATATTTGATTATGAGATTGTTCAAAGTTTTAAGGAATTAATGCCATATATATATATATATATATATATATATGCTTAAAAAATTAATGGAGGAATTCTACTAGAATAAAAACACGAAAACTTTGCAAAGGACTTAGATTTTAAAGAAGTTAATTACTAAGTGACTTAAAGTACACACATAAAACTCCTTCAAACCATGTCAACAATCTAAATGACACAAGAGTAAGAAAGATTTGCATTTTAGTTTCTTCTTCTATAACACATCTACTAGTAAATAATACATCATTTATAAATAATAGAATACTATGGATTATTAAATAAATATTTGAATATAGTAATATTTTTATATTTAAAATATATTAAAAAATATTATAGCTCAATTTCATTAATTTTTTTTAGGAATGTATTTCTAATAATAAAAAGTAATTAAAATATTATTAAAAATAAAAATCATAAATCCAAATATTTTAGATAATTATTATTCTAAGATGAAGAAAATACTTATGACTCATTAAAATCTCAAATTTACTTAAAATTTTATTATTTTTAATTTAGAAGTAAACTGGACTTCTTTTTAAACCAAAAAAAAAATTACTAGTATGATTACTTAGAATGTATTTGAATGTAAAAACTTTAATTCATATTAATATTCTTTCATAGTAGATTATAAATACTCATTAAAGAATATAAATATCTTATAGTTGAATGAATATTCTTTCATAATAGATTACAAATATTCATAAAATCTTGGCTTGTTATTTTTTTTTATAAAGAATGTTTTTTTTCAAGGTCTAGAAATTATTTAAATACCCAAGGCATGGTAGGTGATTCATATCAAAAATTGCAAATTCATCTCCAAGATCTACAAACCCACCTCAAAGACCTACAAACTCAAGTAATTTTAAAAAGGGCTCAAGTTCAACTAATCTAATACAACAAATAAAAATAAGTGTTAATCTAAGATTATCATCTAAAAGTCTTAATTCTTAATTTTTAATTATTAATTCTAATTTCTATTAATTAATAATTCTTTAAAATAAAAAAATATTTAGTAGATTTTTTTAAAAAATAGAAAATATTTAATATATAAAGGTATTTAAATAAGAAGAAAAGACTTAAAAAATGAAAAAAAAAACTTTGATATTAAAAAAAATCAAAATATAAAGAGAGGACTTAATATGAAAAGAATTGAAAGGAAAGCTAGTGTAAATAGAATTAAGAAAAGAAAAGTTCGTGTGAAAAAGTAAAGTGGTTAGTTACCTATTTGATTAAAAGACAAGGTGGTTAAAACCATGTTAGGTAGTTAAGATAGTTAGAAATAGAATAGACTTACTAAATCTAAGTAGTAATAAAAGAATCTTATAATTTAAAATGATAAATAGCCTTAAACTTATATGAATAATATAATGATAAGAATCAAAATAAAAAGATTATATTTGATATTTTATTATTTTTTTTCTATCTAATTTTTTAATATATATATAAGTCTTAAGCTTTAAGTTAGAGAAGGATTCAAAGAAAGATTCATGAAAATTTTTAGGTTTACAATTCAAGATTGAAGAAACCTTAGGACTAAGTCTATGACATTAGAAATCAAGTGAATGATTACAAGACAAGGTTCATTAAGTATAAGCTAAAGTTCTACTTTAAAGCAATCAATATCATCGAATTACTTTAACTTTGACAAAGACTTATGTAACAACAATAAGATATTGTAAGACATATAAAGACATGAAGAAGAGATCAAAGAACAAAGAT